TAGTAAGGAAAACACTGAAAAATGCATTTTGTAGTTGTAAATGTATAAATAACCATAATAGAATAATAATTGATAAAAAAAAAATGTAGTTTTATTTGCACTTTACCTTTGAGGATAGACGACGGTGGAGGTGTAAACTGGTGGCGGAGGAGAGGGAGAAGGGAAATGATACTAAAACTTAACATAATGTAACAATAACTTAAAAATAACTTAGAAAAGATTTTTAAAAAATATTATTGTTTTATATATTTTTTAAAATTTTTATTCACTGCTTTTTTGCTTTCTTTCCTTCACTTCCACCAGCACTTTCACTGGAAAGAGGTCACTTGGTAAAATATCTATCCAAAGAGGTTTGGCTTTGCCTACTTTTTAAAATGTTTCTAAAATGATTAGGCAAATGTCATTACTCCGAGCAGCAATACGGCCAGTGTGAACCTTTTCGGGATGTTTCTTTTCAATAAAATCAGTCACTTTCTGATAATACCTCAAGATTTCCTTTATCGAGTGAGATACTTCCACAACGAAGCAAACACGCGGATTGAGACCAATGAACAGAAATGAATAAAAAATGGCACTGCAAACTAATGTAACGTCGTATGGTGAGGTTTTGTTCGTATCGTGGAGCAAAAATATGTTCAAATTTCATGTCGTGTCCTGAAAATTTCGTATGCTGGGGCGTTCGTATCCTGAGGTACCACTGTATATTTATCCTTTTCATTCCAGTCCAGGAACCACAAAACAGCTGGCGAATTGAAGAAAAAATCTAAAAATAACAGAAAAATACAATAGAAAAACCTCATGCACAATTAAAAATGATCTTGATGTCAACCCTTTCTTGTAGGTCACGACGTCTACAAACATTAAAAGTCAGTAAAATTCTTCTTGACAGCACTCTTGTTATATAATCGCATAAGCTGAGAGTCCTCTGGTGGATTTTTGGGCAGTTTAGAATTATTTGCATAATAGTACATAGAAGCCCAGGATTATTTTGACTTAATTGTGTGTGAGGTTTTTTTGATTGTATTTTTCTGTTATTTTTAGAAGCTTTTTTCTTCAATTTGCCGGTTGTTTTGTGGTTCCTGGACTGGAATGAAAAGGATAAATATAGACAGAGAGAGTTTCAAATACATAGTTTCCTATAAACAAAGCATTTTCAGAGCTGTTTTCCATCCTCAGGGTTTTTATCATTCATAAAATACCAAATTCTTTACATCAAACCTCATTTTTCTTAATTTCTGTTATTTCTAAAATCAAACATGAAAAGAATGTTATGGCTTGGAAGATTCGTCCAATGTCAATGGGCAACTGTAATCTTTCAAATGCTTAACACTTTTCTTCATCCAAGAATAAATTGAAGAGACACTTGATGGTGTTTTTCTGTACTTTCTTCTCAGTTCTCAGCTCTTCCTGTATTGTCACCATTTTTAAGTCAGCAAGCTACTAGCACCATTATACAGGTATACCTCAATTATATGTCGTTTGTCAAAAAATATATGGAAAATTAAAAATCAAGTTTAAGTCATTTTATTCGACTTTACGTATGTCCGCCACAAATATTGAAGTCGTAATATCACTATAAAAGCGTTAAAGCACATAAAATCATATTAAAATATATATATTTACATTAAATGTTAATATAATCATCATTAATTTTAGAGAACAAAACATGAAAACATCTGTGTTTCTGTATTGTCATCTTATTAGTGGTCTTTAAGTGCTGAATATTGGTGTTTTCCACAGTAGCTCCAATATCTACCGTTTGGCGTCGTCGTCAGCGCCACTCAATATTGGTAAATTTAATATAAATTAGTTTATTTTCTACTGTCACAAAATAATTTTAATAACTGTATTTGTTATTTAACCTTACAAAATTATCTTATTATATAATGTCTTAGAGAAACCACATTCACAAATAAAGAGTTTGTGATGTACTGTAAACATTGCCAAATTGCAAACATGTACATNGTACATGTGTTTGTAAATTTAGATTTAGTTTTTAATATAGTACAGGAAAAAAAGTAAATTTATTTGTTTGTAAGCTTAAAATAGATTTTTATTAATCATATATTATTAAAAATGCATTTATAAATAAAATACAAAACTGGGAATGGTTATTTGTGGTTTAGCCTAGTGACAAGTAAATTCGACTTACGTCGTCTCTCCTGGAACCAATTACTGACATAAGGCGAGGTATACCTGTAAACCTTTTTATTAAGAAAACTTTGAGTTATTCTTTCTTTCGCTGCAAACTGCATTTCAATAGATTACTTCATTTTTGTGTGTTATGAATTTGTATATTAATAATAGATCTTTCTTGGACATTTTAGATTGTAGATTTTAGATTGTATGTAACATACAAAATGGTCACATAATGTATGGCACTGATTTCCAAACCTGACAAATTCTCTTGGTATGATTTTTTTAAGTGGGCTAGTGAAAATCCATTTTCAGACATTTCCAAACAAGTGGGGAAAGTTAAAATATCATACACTGTTATATGTCACTGTTCTACATAGTTAAAGTTGGCCCTAATTTCCAATATTCAACAAATACAGGCCCAACACTATAATTCCAAAATGACATCTCCACCTGTACTATTAAAACCTGCATGTGCAAGCATCTGTCCATTTCCACAGTTTTCCGAAAAGACATTTTCCCTGTATAAATAGTTCTTTGGATGTTTTTCTTTATTGAAAAATTGTCATCTTCATTTCTGGCAGCACCATGTTGCATCAGCTAATTTACATTTTTACTCTACTACATGGTTGAATTATTTCAGTGTTCAAGTTTGTGCAGTGAATCATCTGAGAAATTAAATAAAAAGTGTGTTTGTTTTCAGCACCATTAAGTGAGAGGGAGCTTGGGATTTTTTCCAAGGCCTTGGAGAAAACTTAAGGGCCTGTTGTGAATTCTATTTGTATAAAATTAGCTAACAGAAAATAAAATTTCTAATAATAATACTAATACTTTTACTATAATAATAATATCTAATACAGTAGAACCTCGAAAACTCGGCTCTCGATAACCCGGCACTCCGGATAACTCGGCCACACACTGGCAGGGCAAAAAAATCCTTAGTTAATTAATTTTCATTATAGACAGCTTTATAAAAGTATAAAAGATCTCATAAAGTATTTTTCTGAGATCTGTCTTTTCAGGTAAATTACTGTACACGGTGTATTCATTAATTTTCATTTTCATGTAGTAAAGGCTCTATGCCTTCATAAAGGACGTACTTTTCCTTTGTTTAGGGGTATTTGGGCAGTTTATTCTCTGTTATATTCTCAAGTAAACAATACATACAAGTACAGTACAGTATTTTCTGAGGAAACACTCGTACTTATTTTTTTAAACTCCATTCCCGATAACCCAGCATTTTCACAAACTCGGCCACCCTTCGGTCCACATTAGGCCGAGTTTACGAGGTTCTACTGTACTTTTTAATAATAAAACAGTCTACATATTTTATTTATTCAAAACACAAAAGGCTAACTGGGCTTCATACAAGGTCTTGATGACCTTGTTTATGTGAGTGAATTAGTGTATCTAGAATTCATAATCTCATTTCATAGAACAGTAGTGTGATTGGATTTTCAAAAGTTGACATATGCATGATTGAAACTTCAGAACCCACAATGTACTGTACATCTTTGATTTTTTTAAATTTATATATTTCTGGCTGCTGGCAATTTTGTCTATGCATGATTGTGGCACTGTATTCATACTTACTAATAAAAAAAGAAATCAGAATTTTATCTCTTCCCAGAATCTTTCTACAGATTTTTTTTTTTTTTTCTTGAAATTGTTTATCATAGAGATGTCATTTACTGGAATTTAATGCCTCATATGATATAGGTATATGGTATATGATAAATATGTATTTCATGAGTAATAATTTATTGTTAGACTTAAATGTAGGAAGTTAAGTTTGATTGTTATATTTTAGTCTATTAAATGGTTTTAATACTTATTTGAATTTTTGATTTATTAATTATAAATGTTAAATGGCAAATTGCACTTATAAAAATTCTGTTATTTTAGGATTTGATCCACGTCCACATTTGGCTAACTTCCATCCAATAGCTGGAGCAACACCACCACCTCCACCATTACAACATCCAGAAGATCAAAAGTCAAAAGTTGCTAATCGGAATACAGGAGTTAAACCACAATCACAGACAACAAATAATGATTTTTCTGCAGGAAGAAATCTTGCTCCTGCTGTTCCGACTTCTGTAGCTTATTCAGTAGATACTGGAAAAATTCCCTCAGGTACAATTGAAAAGCAAGAACCAGAAGCTTTAAAGGATAAACTTTGGCCTTGCCCATCTTGTAAGGTCCCCTTTAAAGCAGCTTCAGAATTACAAGCCCATCTTTCAGCTCATACCAAGGGAGAGAAAACAGTACCTTGTGAGATCTGTGGGAAACTTTTTGCATCTGTAGAAAGAGTACGTATTCACATCAGAGCAGCCCATGGTGAAAAATCATGTTCCTGTGACATTTGTGGCAGTGGATTTAGTTATCGATGTAAGCTATTGGACCATATGAGGACCCACACTGGAGATAAACCATTTCATTGCGACATTTGTGGTAAGAGCTTCTCCCAGAAGAATCATCTGACACGCCATTCCATGATACACACAGGAGAAAGACCCTATCCATGTGACTTCTGTGGCAGAGGATTCTACAGGAAGGACAAGCTGACAAGACATAGGCGGATCCATACAGGTGAGAAACCTTATGCATGTTTAGCCTGTGGTAAAGCTTTCTACCGCCGAGATAAATTAACGCGTCACATTAAAATGCACAGTGGGGAAAAGCCTTTTGCGTGTGGCATCTGTGGAAAAAGATTTATTGAAGAAAGAGATCTGAAGCGACATAAATGCTCCTCTCGACACTTGCACAATTCCAGTGGCCCCAAGCACAACACGGCACAACAGAGCTCTGGGACAAGGCGGAACCAACCGCAGCAGCAACAGCAGCAGCACCAGCAACAACCTCACCAGCACCACCAGCAACTCCAGCCCCATCACCAGCAACAGCAACCCCATCATCACCAGCAGCAACAGCAAGCTCAGCCCCAGCACCACCAGCCCCAACCCCAGCAACAGCAGCCTCAACCTCAGTCTCAATCCCAGCCTCCACCATTTCAGAACCTCAGCCTTCAAACCTGACTGGCAAGGTGCACCGTCTGGGGTGCACTGAGTGGATGGTCAGTCTTCAATGGGCAGCTGTAATCACCTCACCTCTCAGGCAGGCCCTTTTTTATTTTTTATTTTGGTAGTTTATGTTTTCAAAGGAACAAATTTCAATAAACTAGTGTTTACATAAATTTTATGGTCATCTGCAAAATACACAATTGTTGAATGTGTATTTTTATAAAGCATAGTTTATGCACTGTTAATACTCATTGATTCTGGAATATCCAGTAACTTCAAAAGCATGAGTGATGGACTGAAAATAAGGCCTGAAGTATAAGAAAATACAGCTGCCCACAATTAGCATTTTCTGAAAATAGCTGAGTCTGGATATGTGTATATCCAGACAGGGTAGGCATTATAACTTTTTTATCTCAAAATTTAGGAGATTGCATTTCAGAAGCTAAAATTATAATAATAATGAAAAATTACAAAATCTTCCGTATTCTTTAATATGGATAAAATCTCAATCTATCAGCATTTTATTCAATTGTTGTATTTTTATTATTATTATTATTATTATTTTTTATCAGAGTGAATTTTGTTTTGTCTTGTTAATTATATGAATGTATTTTTTCTCTTTTATTGAAATTTTTTAGAAGTTTTGTTATATTATCATTTCTTTAAAAAATCATTGATTAATGTATAACTTTCTTGTTGTTGCATCATTTTATAAACTAAAGTTGACCGTAGTGGTTGTGACACATTTTATCTTTTGTATGTAAAGGAGTTGGAACTTTTTATTTGTTTGTTGTAATATTATATACATACATACTTACCTTTTTTCATGAACAACAGCCAGAGATGACCAGGGAAATTTTACAAATGAAGAATTAAAAAATGTATATTAAGCTCCATTTCAAAAAAATGTGGTTTCAGAATTGTTCTGTGTACCATATATTTTAAAATAATTTGGAGTGGATATTAATTATGTAGCTGTATATACTCATGTAAACTGTGGAGCCTTGTATACAGCGTTATTCAAATATCCAAATTACAATTTAAAAAGTGCAGATGAAGAACTACTATTTTAGAGAATCTGGCAAAAAAAAATGATAATGAGGAGTTGATTACACAAATGTTAATATAATCTCTGGTAGTGTCATAATTTTTTTTATTGTGCCATTGTTGTAGGGAACGGGTGTATAATGCTTGTAGGTCCATATTTTTGTATTATGTAAGTTGGTGTATAAAGAAGTCAGCTTTAGGCAGTTTTTAATCTTGAATCATGCAGTTAGGTTAGTTTATAATTATTGTTAAAGCAAAAAAAAAACAATTTAGAATGCCAAATATACTTTGGGTGTTCACAATGGTGTTCCCTTTCTTCTCTAAGGAATCTTTTTGAATATTCTTAAACTGTGATCAGAATCTATGTTTGGGATTTATTAAAGTTTAAAGGAAATGAAATCCAATTAGTTTTATTTTCAAAGTCAAGATTTTAACCACTATTAAATTGTTGTTTATTGTAGTTTCCAGACATCTATCTCTCAATGCTTTCCTGTTTCTTATTATTGACAAAAGGTAAGTATTATTAATAGGAAAGATTTATTGCTATGAAATATCATGACTACATGTATTTATATATTTTTCTTTTTATTGTTATTAATACTTTGTATTTCAAGTGATTATTTTATATAAATAAANGGGCATATATAAACTTTTTTGGGTAGTTTTATATCTTTTTCCTATCAGAAATGAAAATAAACATTGCATGATTTTGTGTTTTTAAAATGTTCAATGTTCTTAAATGGCAAACAGAATGTCTTGAACAGATTAAATTCTTCTTCATTTTATTTACATTCTACATTTTAATTTTATACTGAAATTTGTTTCGTATTTGACAAAACAAATATAAAGAATGTTAAGTATAAAAATAAACAAATACAGTAAATGTAAAACTAAATTAATTACAATAAATAAGATTATGTAAGTAATTCCAAATTAAGCCACAAAATGTGTTAACATAAACATTCTGTAGAGATTGTTAAAAATAACAAGATCCAATAAAATTACCACAAGTTAGTCAACTCAACTCACCAAAATACCTTATTTTAACATTTTAATTAAAATTTTCAACCTTATTTTAATCCAGCTTGTAGAAGCATTTGGTGCATTAGTCTTAAATAAAAACAACCCTTAGACTCTTAACACCCAAATCCAAGGGTCTAGGTTAGAACTTTTGTTTTTGATGTTTAACAGAATGTCTCTTGATATTACAATTACCAATACCTCTGGAGTGGACCTTGAACCAAGTAAGATTATTGATGACCCTTCCCATTTGACATCTTGACTTTAGTCCATTGCTTCCCATGTCAGTGCAGTGGTACCTCCAAGATGTGTATCAAAAGAACAGAATGTGCTACTTAGATTTTACATATCTTCAAATTTCTCAATGAAACTTTTTACTGTACCTGCCTATCTTATTCATTGGTGTTGGCATCTTGTAATTCTAATGAAGTCATAAAATGAATTTGTTGTCATATACATTTCAACTCATTAAGTTTTGTTTAAATAACTTAGAGAGCAATGACAGCTGCCTTCATGTCTTGCTGTCATCCAGTATTCTGTTGTTAGGTTTGGTTCCTTATTGTGATGCCAAATGATGTAGACTACACTAGATGAACCAAGCACTTTTTGAGCTGTACTCTAAGCATTTTGTTTTCACAGTACATTATAGGAACTAACTATTTACAGTAAGAATTTCCAAATAAAGCAGTTCTGTTTTGTGGTTGGTTGAGGGTCAGAGGGCAATGATTGGTTTCATATATTTGCACTGCATGTGTTATATTGCTTATTACAAAATATTGGTAGACTTGCTTAATGTTGTTTCATGTGCAAGGCTGCTGAGTTAGAGTCAGAATTAAATTTGTTTCTAGTGGAGTCATTCCATAAAAATGGACCAACTCCAATTTCAACTGCTATTTTCTTTTAAATTGTATAATTTATACAGGGTGTTTGAAAAGTTACTGTTCAGTGAGAAATTTGTAATGATATTAAAGTTATATGCATGCAAGACATATAAGTTGTATTAATATGTCCTGTGTTTCCACTTTGTAATAAATGGCATTGCTTGCTCACAGATATTCTGGTTTTGGAAGACTTCTTTGCCAATTGCATAATTTTCCATGGAAACTGGCCTGCTAGGTCTTCAGACCTCATTTCCCTGGATTTTGGGGCTTCTGAGGGATATTCCAGAATTTGCTGTAGGAAAAACTGCAATAACATATGTAAAATTTTACTTTTATTGAAACTTTATTTTAACCTTTTCTCCACTGCACAGTAACTTTATGGACACCCTGTAATAAACCCTTAATAGGAATGTTAACCTATCTTGCATATAGGAGCCTTCTGTAATGCAAGATCTTATTTTAAGAAGATTCCCCAACTTCATAATCTTTCTTTACTTATTATTAATTTTTGTTTTCTTTTCAGAAATGCATATTCAAATACATTCTTTCTTAGCTAATTCTAATTCTAAATTTTTATGTCAAAAGACTCATACAAAATAGCTAAGACGACTCATAAGGAGAGGGCCAGACATTCAGGTTTCCAGTTCAAATGAAATTTGGTGAGTATGTATGTAGCCCTAAACACAAACAGCTCCTCATTCAAATAATAGGACCTACTTATCAAGCATTTCCTAAAAACGGTCCTCTGAAAATTCAGTATTTAGCTTATGTGTTTGGAAGTTTCACTTTTTCTTGGAACGATGATGGCTGAGTGGATAAGATGCTAAGCACTGGAGCTGCTTGAAGTAAGTTTGAACCATTGCAATTTTAGCTTGTTTTTAATGTGTAACATCATTATTTTATTATTTTACTGTATCATTAACATTATTATTGCTATTATTATTATTATTTCTTTTTTAGTTTTAAAATATTTTTATATATCAACTCTGATTATTTTAATACTTAAGTTAGATTTTAAAAAAAAGCAGGAAAGTATTGAGTGATATTGTTTGGAAATTCTGCTCTCTTACAACTGAAAAAAATTAGATATTTTAATCAGCTAAAAATTTTAATTACTTGCTACCAATTCTGATTCTTTTCTTTTTAAATGAGATTTTAACTATTTGAGTTTCAGAAAAGAAATTTATTTCATAATTTTTGAAATGAATTTTGTTCTGATAAATAAATGTTAGCTTATTAGTTAGTAAGGATATTAAATTTGATTAAAAAAATAAACTATTTAGCATTGTTGGCACTATGCCATTAGTATTTAGTGTGCCAATTCCAGCTTGATATGGCAATGTAAAAATTCTTTATTCTCAAATTGTACAAAAATAAATTTAAAAGAATACCTCATAAACTTTATATATTGTTATTGTCTATATGCCAAGCCAAGCAAAATATTGTTCTTTTATAATATGTTTTATAAAAGTATTCTGGTCGTTTTTCAGGTAAAATATAAGACACTGTGCGACAACGGACTTGCAGCCGGTGGACTTCGTTTGACAGAATTGTGGATATTTAAAAGAAAAATGGATTTTATTGGATAAAGGAGAAGCCATGGGATATCATGGGTTAAGTACTTGGTCATAATTTTATGATGCCAAACAATGTATCTGATACTGTGTTATTGCAATTTGAAGTTTTGTTTTATTTAAATGGCATGTTAATTTTTTTTATACATAAATGTTGCATTTTTATTAAATGAGTGAGAAAAACAATTTAATGTACATTGCCTCCATTACATTGAATGCCCAAATATACATTGTTTTATGAAGGTATCATATAATAATTATATATTTGAGGCAAAAATGTAAAAGTGCAATTGTTTTGCTCAGTAAAATATCTTTATTGTAAACTCTTTATTATATTTTAAAAATTTGACATAAATTTATTTACCTCTCACAATGCATGCAGTTTTTTCTTATTTTGCTAATAGAAAAATCTTTTATATATACTAAATTGAATCACACAGTTTTAAAAATTTATTTAATTAAAATAGAATTTCTTAATAATTTTATTTTCTCTTGTTTTACTAACAGAATGATATTGATTTCTTACGTAAATATTTAAAATAATATTTGATTTGTAAATCTTTTTGGATTTTACGTCAAGCTGGGGTGGGCTTGCCACGCTGCTGCACCGTCCCAGGCCAACAAGTTCGTTGTTGCACAGTTGCAGAAATAGTAATTTCTTCGCATGATATTTTTTCAATTTGACTATCATTTCTTGTTATCATTTATCTATTATTTTAACTTTGAGAATGTTTAAGACTTGCCATGTCCTGTGATTTTTCAAGTTGTAGAATATTGTAATTTGATATGAAAAATATGTTTGTGTAAAAAAGTTTACAATACAATAAAGACATGTAACTAAAAAGATAATGAAGAATCAACAACAAAACAATTTTTTTTGTTGTATTTACTAATGTTTTGCTGTTTTTTTTAACAATTTGATGTGTATATTGTTTAAAAGAAACTTGATTTGCTTTGGCAATATTAGTAGAAAAAAGATTCATGCAAATCATGTGTAGCATGTAGAAGTGCAGTTGTTTCTTGACAGAATAAAGTGTGCCTACTCTTAAAAGTTTTGCCTGAATTTTCTTTCACTTACTGAAATTTTGTCAATTTTAAAGATATGAAAAATTCAGTTATTAATCATAATTATTAAGTTAAATGCATTAAAACAAGTTACAAAAAATTATATATAATTTAATAATTATTTTGGATATTATTTTTACGCTGCTTTTTGATTTTCACTACTTTGACAAAACTGTTCCTGAAATTTCATTTTTATTTAAATAAAAATGTTTCTGATATATTATATACACACAAATTTTGTAAATTACAAAATGTTATAAATACAAGATGCTGAATTTATATTCCTCTTGATATATTTATGTTTTAATAAAATATTCTGTTCTAATTAAACAAATAACTTTTCATGGTAACATTTTATACATTCATTATTTAAGAATTTAAAAGATTTTTCTGTTTAAAACTAATAAACTTTAAAGCATAAAAGACTAATTTCATACACATATGCAGAAAGTACAAATCATTTCTGAGTAGTTTCAATGTACACTTATATATTTGATGCAGATACATTTATTCAAAAATATCTGTAAACATGTTTTTATTTATCAAATTGTTTGAATTTTTTTATTGTGTACATAAGGACAAATTTTTAAATAAGTTTAGAAATTCACATATTGTTTTACCTTCACATGTTTGTCTGTTATACGTTATTGATTGAATAAAGAATTTGTAGAGAGAAGAAAAAGAAACATTTGGAGATGGTCACGTCAAAGGTGCTGTTTGCATATACTAATACTGTTATGTAAAGGTTTTGTTTTAGTTCAAGCAATTCTATAAATCTCAGGTGGTGGTAGACACAAAATTGATTTATTTCTTATTTTAAGTGTAATTAGATATTACGTTGTTATAAAATTATCTAGACTCAACTGCAATAACAATGGAAGATATAAAAATTGCAATATTTACATTTTAAGAAAATTTTCATAAAAAATTAATAACATAGAAGTATATAAAACAATAATTATAAATGCAGAATGTTATTTTTTAGTGGCAATATTCATTTTAATTTGCCAAAGAAATTATTTTAAATTACTCTAGAAAAGAATTATTGCCAGTATTTCTAATTTTTAAAATAAGACTTAACTAATTTTG